TCTTTAATCTATTTATCACCCTAACCCAATGTGATGCATTTTATCCCATTGAAAAATCATAATGTATAGTTTATCTAGTGCAGCCTATCTAACCTGTTCGATCTGTCTGAGTGGTAAAAACTTACTGCAGCCTCATCTTTGCTGCAGGTTAGGATTTCATGCCTGTTACTGGATTTCATGCTACCAACACCATAAAACAAGCATTTAACTCCCTTTTCAGACAGAGACTGAAGTTGCAAAGGTTTGAGTGTCTTTCTCACAGTTACAAAAGTAAGTCAATAGCAGACCAAGGAATAAATCCTGTTTTTCTTTGCAACCATGTTAGAAATGAACCTAAAATAATGCTGATGAGTATGCACTGCTTTTACTGATCCATGGAATTTCTTCTGGAATACCAGCCACTCATAATGGTGTAAGAACCTCAGAGTGTGAGGGCATGTGATGAAAACTGGGTGAGGTGTAGGTTACAGCACAGGACATGCACTAGGAGATCTGTGGACACAGTATCTGTTATTGGATGAAGAAGTGAGTTGCAAACACCTGAAGTGTTTGGGAGTGATGAGAAAGGAAGGCTGAATCTTAAGGCCCCTGGAAAGTAGCATCTTGAATGGATTTGATGCACCAGTCTGGATCAGGAGCGAAAGCAAGAGGCAGCTGGTGCAGCATCTTCCCTGGTTTAACTGTTCATGACTCTCAGAGATGCCAGAGAGTAGCTGGGCCGTGTTTGGGCACTGCTTAGCACAGGAGGGCAGGGGAGGAGAACGCATGAGAGTTTTAGGAAGTGAGCAGAATTCCTGCCTCTTGTAAAAGCCAAGCTTTGACAGCCCTCACCATGCTCCTACGGAGCAGAGATATTCTCCAGGCATGGATACATCTCCTGGGATCCAGGCAAGGGAAATGGCACACAGGTGGTTTGAGAGAAGCCACTGTTTGCTGAAAGGTCCTGTCTGGCTCTCAAGCAGGGACCTCTCATATATGTAGCCATCGCAGTGTCCCAGGCACCTCTCCATGTTATGCAGAGCTCAGTTTAATGGAGAACTGAAGCAATTTTAGTGGTTTTTTAATCTTTTTGATGTTATGGATTTGAAGCTGGAAATGAGTCAGAGTGACACGTCTATCAGAGACAACTAGAAACCCAGGAAGGATAAGACATTTATCTTCTGAAGATAAATCCAAGTGGTCTGATGACACAGTGCAGTCTGAAATTCAAGCTAATGGCTGGAAAAGATTAGTATATGACCTCTGAGTCTGTGATTTGATTGTTAACTCCTAGTTAATACAGTGGATAATACAGCTGGGTTCTCCAGAGTTGGGCTTGAACCTCAGCATCCCTTACTGAACATTGAAATGGTCCTTCCTCAAATTAGCTGAAGACTCTGTCAATCAGTCGACTTCAGTGGAAATTTCCACTGACTTCAGTGTACTTTGGCTCAAGCCCTAGGCTCGTATCTGTGTCTTCTAACCATTCATGCAGCTTCTCTGCTTGCAGCTTTGCAAGTGTTTATGGAAAACACATTTTAAAGCTCCAGTGAGGGCAGAGGTGGAAGGTAGTAAGAAGGACAAAAGAAGTGCAAGCTAATTCACAGATTTCTAGATCAGTTTGAGACCAAGAGAAAAATAGATCTGTGTATTTATTGGAACTAGTAGTGAAGGTGGTAAGTCTACAGAGTAAAGTCAGTTGGGTTTAGCACTAATGACTTTAAGTCAATCATTCTTTGCACTCCTACTGTGTATTAAAAATTATTTCCCCATTACTTTGCTTTCCCTGGATTTAATATTTGAAACCATTTTTTTTAATTCTAAAGATTTGTGGTGGAATAGTGAAATTTGCTTGATACCAGAATGAAAAGGAACTTGAATTAGTTTAGAAAGGATCAATCTCATCTAAAGGGAAAAGTCTCCGACTGCTTCTTGCCATTTCATGTGTTCTTTGGAGTGGGAGAAACAGGACAGGACAGGTCATAGTGTATTTTTCCTGTTAAATAGAGAAAGAAGACTATGGTTTTGCCTTAGATCTGTGACCTAAATGAAGTTTGAGGTTTGGCTCAGTGATACCATCTTCAATGGTAATAATGATTATAGAATCATGGAATATCTTGAGTTGGAAGGGACCCACAAGGATCATTGAGTTCAACTCCTGTCGCTCCACAGGACAGTCCCAAAAAATCACACTATGTGCCCGAGGGCATTACCTAAACCTCACTTGAACTCTTATAACAAATAGCATTTTGTATTCTTGTGCCACTCCTTTCCCAGTATTTGATTTTAACGTTAATTCCTGGTTTTCAACCCTAGCAGTGTAAATGGAATGAAAAATTATAATGTGTTATTCATTTTCATGCTTGAGTTTTCATATGGTCCAGCAAGGACATTGCCATAAATACACTGTACACATAATTATTTGCAAGACAATCTTTGTCTTGAGAAGAAGAAGAAGAAGAAGAAGAAGTGGGAGGGGAGTAAAGAAACAAGCAAAATCAGTAATTTTCCCAAGGTCATGCAGAAAGTGTATCCAACGTGCACTTCCTGGTGCCATCAGTGATTTGTATGTTAATGTTAATACACTAACAGGAGCTGCAAAAGGATAGGAAAATGGTGAATTAAGATATTAAACCAGGTTTTTGGCCTACTCCTACTGATAAGGGAGCAGGGGACAGACCATGGAAGGCCCCTGCCATTGGGTGAGGGAGTGGGTGGATGTGTGGCCAGCAGGGAAGCCAAACTGCTGTAGGATTAAGAAGGATATTTCTGTCTCAGTGACTGGATTTTATTTCCTTTCTGAGTTACAGCATACAGAGCTCTGGTCCTTTTGCTTTTTGTGGCATTTTGAAGGTGAAAATCACAGATGTGAGACCAGCACTGGGATCACTCCAGAGTAGGACCATTCCTATAACTCAGACAGAAGTTGCATGAGCTTGCCAGGACAGGGAGGTCTGGCATCATGAGGTAAAAAAGGCAAAATATTTTGGAGATGAACAGTGCTCTCAAGTCTCCTGAGTAGACCTTGAGCAACCTGGTCTAGTGGGTACATCCCTGGCCATGGCAGAGGAGTGGGAACTAGATGATCTTGAAAGTCCCATCCAACCCAAACTATTCCATGATTCTTAGACTTCCAGAGCAGGTTGGGCTGGGAAGATTTCTTTCCTTACAAAACACTATCATGAGGTCTAATACTGCTCCCAGGGAGAATCAGCTGGTGCATGGTTACTAGTGTTAATGGGGTTGAGACCAGGTCTTTAGCTGTGCTATACTTGTCAAAGGAAATACTACACAGATCAGGGAAAAGGTCTCCTGGAAGATTAGAAGTAGACTTATTCCAGCAGAAGGGAAAGGACATCCAAGAGTCCATGTAAGGAGCAGTGCAGATGCAAGAAAAGTTTGTTTTCCGTGTAGACTTTGGGGGGGCCCTGAAGGCAGTGATGGCTGTTCTCCAGCTGCACAGGGGTGGGTAAAGTCTGTGTGTGGGTGAACATGGCTGTAAAATACAGCACCACTGATTGCATTTGACTTTCTCAGGACACAATGGCACCAGAATTGTCATGAGCTTTAGCTGTGAACTCTGCTTAATCCTTGACCCCTTGGCTGCTCTATATCATCAAACAGCTGCAGGTCAGTCCATAGCTCTCTCTGAGAGCAGCTGAGAATAAGCAGGCGATGAGACATCTTTTCTGTAAGTCCTAAGTCATGTGGGACTTTTTTGGAGAAGGCTGTCACTGTCTGGGTTGCTGTGTGTATTCCCTGTGGCAGTTCCTTCATGTGGCTTTGCACTCTCACAAGCATACTCACAGAATCTTAGAATGGTTTGGGTTGGAAGGGACCTCAAAAATCACCTAGATCCCACACCCCTGCCATAGGCAGGGACACCTTCTACTAAACCAGGTTGCTCTAAGCCCCATTCAGCCTGGCCTGGAATGGATGTGGATGAGGCTGGATATAAGCCATAGGTATTAACTGGATGCTATCACCATCTCAGTAGCTGTATCTCAGTGCTTGTGTTGGATGGAAACTGTGAATAAAGAGAAATATCATCAATGATATGACAGGCATGTCTGGGTGGCCTGCTGAAGGCTGGGCCCTACAGGAGAGGGGTTTATTATAAGGTCTGTGTGAATGTGGTTCAGAGAGTAAGACATAGGAGTGGACAATGACCAGAGAGGGCAAGAAGAGAAAGGAAGCATGTAGAAGCAGAAATAAAGTACATAATAAAAAAAAAGGCTATAATAAAAGGAAAAAAAAGGCAAGGAGGAAAAGAAAAATTTAAAAGAACAAGTACAATGAGATAAAAAATGAGATAGAATGGATACGAGCATAGGACAAGGAGAAAGGTCTTCAAACTGAAAGGGAGCAGTTTTAGATTGGATATTGGGAAGGAATTCTTCCCTGTGATGGTGGTGAGGCACCAGCACAGGTTGCCCAGAGAAGCTGTGGCTGCTCCATCCCTGGAAGTGTTCAGGGTCACATGGGATGGGGCTTGGAGAAACCTGGTCTAGTGGAAGGTGTCCCTGCCCATGGCAGGGGGTTGAAAAGGTCTGAAGGTCCCTTCCAACCCAAACCATTCTGGGATTCTATGATGGTGGAAGTTTCTTGATGGATAGACACATCTCTTAGAATTTAATGTCCATTTGTTTCTCTGCAGCTAAGGAACTAGTTGATAAGTTACACAGCATTAGTGCACATCACTTTCCTAGTGCCAAAGCTGAAAAGGAACATCACGTTCTTTCTGTATGAACTGCTCCAAGTGTTCTATTTTGCCCAGTGACTCCTGTGGAGAAGTGAGCTGCCTTATCCATCAGCAGTTTATTAACCTCAACATCTAAGAAATCTGCAAGACCTAAAATATTCCACATCTTCTCACCCATAATGAGAAGGACATTGAAAACACAGTTGTTCTGAATGATAAACATCATGATACCAAGGGAGTGCAGCACTTCTTTGTCTGCACCCTCTGAACTGCTCTCTCCTGACATTTTTCTTTCTCACCCCTTAGGAAGGAAGCCAAGATGGATTACAGCTCACTCAGCGGAGTCCCTCGGTTCCTGACCCGGCCTAAGGCTTTCATGGTGTCTGTGGGGAAGGATGCCACCTTGAGCTGCCAGATCATTGGAAACCCCATCCCAGTTGTGAGCTGGGAAAAGGATAAACTTCCAGTCCAGTCTGGAGGAAGGTTTAAAACCACAGAGGATGGGGATCTCTATCGGCTAACAATCTATGATCTGAGCCTGGAGGACAGTGGCCAATACATCTGCAGGGCCAAAAACACCATTGGGGAAGCTTTTGCAGCTGTCAGCATCAAAGTGGGAGAGGAGACCACAGTAACAGAGTCAGCCCCTTACTTCATCCAGAAACCTTCCAACATCAAAGTAACCTTGGGAGAAGATGCCATGTTCAAATGTAAAGTCCAGGGCAGCCCTCCCCTCTCGGTGAACTGGGAGAAGGATGGGCGATACTTGCGGAACAAGGCAGATGCTGGACGCTTCCAGATTGAATCTGCTGGGGAGTCAAATGCTCTCACCATCCAGTGTGCCCAGCTGGGGGACAGTGGCACCTACACCTGCCGGGCAGAGAACCTCATTGGCTCTGCCAGCGCTTCGGCCGCACTGGTGGTGGAAACACACGGCTCTTCCAACCCAGGCAGTGGCAGCAACTTTGATGCCAGCTGTGGCAAGACAGCTTCCTTGTTGTCCCACTTGCAAAAGAGGCGGGAGGAGATGAGGAAGATGGACATCTCCCATGGGACTCTTGACTCAACATCTGCCCAGTCTTACTCTGCGGTAGAAGGGTTGTCTGGCATTGGTTACAGCCTCTCCCGGGACTACGAGAGGGCAATGGGACTTACTAAAGGGGCTCGGAATGCCACTTTTGGGACACTGACACGCACGTGCAGTGTGACGGAGGGTAAACATGCCAAGCTGAGCTGCTACGTGACAGGTGAGCCCAAGCCAGTGATTGTGTGGAAGAAGGACAACGAGGTCATTTCGGAAGGGCGGCGGCACGTCATCTATGAGGATGATCAGGAGAACTTTGTGTTGAAGATCCTCTTCTGCAAGCAGATAGACAATGGCCTATACACCTGCACGGCTTCTAACCTGGCAGGCCAGACGTACAGTTCTGTGCTTGTCACTGTCAAAGGTGGGTGCTGATGTTTCTCACAGGGGTGGATGAGCCTCCGAGGAGACAGTCAATGCACTTCTGAATTGGGGTGGGGGCATGAACAAAACTTCTGCCACTAAACTGTTGCAGAGGAGTGTGGATTAGATGTGAATAAAGCCCTCAGGCAGTAAAGGGGGTTACTCACTGGAATAGATGACCTGGGGAGAGAATCTCATCATTGTGGGTTTTGAGGAAGGGCATTAAAGTGGTGCCAGCTAGGGATGGATGATGTAGAACTGTCTGGTTATTTGGCAGCTGGGATGAACCTGGTGTCTAAAGGTCCCATCCTTTCTGGTTTCATAGTAATCTAAAAGGTTCATTAGCATCCTCTCGATCAGTGGCTGCATCTTACCCTCCAGGCTTTAATCACACCTGGGTTTTAATTCAGCATGGAGTTCAGTCACTGGCACACATGTGCCATTTAAGCAGTAGTAAGGAAACTCCTCCCTGCAAACTCTCTGTCAGACTGCCATGGATCCCCTGGGGGACCCACACCAACTCCAATTACTGTCCATCTCGGTTTTCCTGTAGAGTGACCCACCAACAACCTTGTTGTCACCAGGCTCTTCAGCTTTTTCCCTGCTTATGGTTCTGGATAGTCTGTAGCCTTTGTATGCTCCCAGAAAATCTACCAGGCCCAGCATGCCTCTGTTTGCCTTGGCCGGTGGTGAAAATTTTGCTTTCAGAGGGTCCCTCAACACTTGTGGAGGTCAGACCAAGTTTTTTCAAGTGACAGCGAAAATGTGACACACATATTTCATAGAATCCCAGAATGATTTGAGTTGGAAGGGATCTTAAAGCTCTAGTTCAAAACCCCCTATAGGGACACCTTCCACCAGACCAGGCTGAAAACCCCCTGTAGGGACACCTTCCACCAGACCAGGCTGCTCAGAGCCCCATCCAACCTGGCCTTGGACATGCCAGGATGTTACAAATTTTCAAGCTACTCTCCCACTTGGCAAAGTGACAGAAGGCAGTTTTCAACCCAGGCAGAACCTGTAAATGTGCTGTCAGAGGCAAAAGGGTTTGCCACACGAGTGGTAAAATAAATGTTTTTCATATATAAATAAATGTTTTTGAATAAGAAATTCAAAGAAG